TCCCCTCCCCTCTAGACTTGTATGGCTGTATGACTCTTGTGTATTTTAATTACGTGTATTGTGTTTTATGTTCCCTTTTTTTCCCCTTTGAGTTGTTCACCGCACTGAGTCCCTCCCGGAGAAGGGCGGCATACAAATAATCTAAATCTAAATCTAAATCTAAAGTCAGTAAATCCTTCACTGATGACAACAATTGAGCCCAAAATTTCTATAGCTAAGTGAGACCTTTTATTAAGTGAGTTTTGCCCCATTTGACGACCTTTCTTGCCACAGTTGTTAAGTGAATCACTGTCGTCGTTAAAAGTTAATTCAAAGGTTATTAACTGAACTTGGCTTCCCCACTGACTTTGCTTGTTAGAAGGTTGCAAAAGGGGATCATATGACCCCCAGGACACTGCAACCGTCATAAATACGAGTCAACTGCCAAGCATCTGCATTTTGAGCACATGACTATGGGAGAAGCTGCAGTGGTTGTGTGGGGGGAAAAAATGGTCATGTCACTTTTTCAGTGCCGTTATAGCTTTGAATGATCACTAATTGAATTGTTGTAAGTTGAGGACTACAGTACCGGTATCATACAAAGTTCTCTAAGAACATTTTATATATCCAGACAGCATTCAAATGTAGTCAACCAAAATCTGTAAATATGCTAGAATAAAACTCTGGTTAAATTTTCCTGCCCTTGACTTAAATTATGGTAAATTCTTGCTCAGATTACTTGGCTCATCCTGAAGACAAAGAAGCAGGGCGTTTTAAAATTAGCACTAGTCTTTGTGGCTAAAGAAAAGGCAAGACCTAATCTGAGCTCAGAGCCCCAATAAGATCATCTGGAACCTACAGCATTGTTAACAGAATACTTATGGGTGCACATAAGTTGGGTAGGAGTTAAATTTGTGTTTTTGGATGACGAGCTGTACCTTCTTCCTTCTTAACCACTTTCTCTTTCTTCACAGATCCCGTTTTGGTGCCTTTCTCTGGGAGTCTTTTCAATGAACTGTTTGCAGTCTTCTTTAAATTAACCTGCAAAAGAGAGAGGAGGTAACCTAAATTCAGTCTATCTCAACTCTGCAAGGAAAACATCATTTTATTTATTTATTTATTTATTTATTAGACTTATATACCGCTTCATAGGACTTTCAGCCCTCACTAAGCGGTTTACAATTTCAAAGAAGCCTTCTAGGCCCAAATCGGGGTGCGGGAGAGTCACGCGCATGTCCGGGGGGAGCGCAGGGGGGGTCATTTGCACATGTGCAGGGTGCATTGCATTATGGGTGTGGGTGCGCACATGGACAATTTTGGCACAGGAGGAGAAAAAGGTTAGCCACCACTGATATAGGGTCTCTCGCTCGAGCAAGGGGTTGGAGTAGAAGACCTCCAAGGTCCCTTCCAACTCTTGTTATTCTGATATTCTAACTACCATTTCAAAGATGGATTTCAACAGAAACTTCCCTCTCTTTCTGCCAGCCACCAAGCAGAAACATGAATCACGTTATATTTTTCCTTAGGGCAAGAATCGTAGCACCAAAAATAAATACCTCAATGTTTACTGTAAATTTGTTCTTTGAAGTGCATGACAGCAACAACTAGGTAAACTACTAAAACAAAGACGTTAACATCATTACCCAAACTAGGTAACATCAGTCTGACGATGTTACCTAGTTTGGGTAATGAAAAATCTGGAACACCTGTAAGATAACAACCAAGCTCAGAGAGCACGTCATGTCATCCCCTGAGCTGCAAATATTCTCCTTTGTTGAGATTAATATCAGGAATCCGGCTGGTGATTGACAGAAGTCAGAGGTTTACCCAGCCTTCATCTTGGCAGATTGTCCAAGTATGTGGAAACCTGGGTGGTTCAGAAGACATATTACAAGCTGACCAGAGGTGGGTTCCTACCAGTTCGCACCTATTCGGTAGAACCGGTTCATCAAATCTACCGAACCGGTTAGAAGAGATTCCACCAGTGGA